GGGGAAAACAAAATAGCCCATGACGGATGGACCATATGGATTTGAAAATCTATTAAGAGTGCAAAATTAATTTTATATGTGTAAGACAATAATAAGGCTCACGAAAGCTTTAACTAATTTACTAAATAGTTAGTTTTTAGTTAATTTACTAATTAGCTAGCTTTAGCTAAATTTGTACAAGTTTAAAAATCCTAAGCCAAAGACTCATGAATGGGTCGAGCCCATTTCTGTGATGGGTTAATGATTTTATACCGAAGATATATTCTAATTCCCCACAAGACTTTAGCAAAATAAATATCTCTCAATCGTTCAATCTGAAAGAAAAAGAATCTCAAGGTATATTTTCGTCTAGGTAAATTTCTTGGCTTCTCACTCATATTACTTTCCACTTTTCATAGTCTCCTTTTCTGTTTTCTTCGATGGAGAAAATGGGTTTTATTATTAGTTGGTCAATCCTCAGCAGAGTGTCTTACTTAGCTCACCTTTTGAATTTTTTTTGCTTGCTATCACGACTCAATTTTGTTTATACATTGCTTCAGCACGGGAGAAAGTGCTTCTTGTCCTCACTAAAAAAAAAAACTAAAAGCTTCTCGCTGCGAAGCTTGAGCATTCGATCGACACCCATCACCTCATCTCTGAAGATGATATAACTGACCCAATGCTACTTCAGTGGTCTACTATTTTGATAGAATTTATAGCTCTATTTAATCGAACCCTTGATTCTCTCCAACTTCAATGAATGTCGGCACCAACAACATTCAATTTCTCTATTATTCGGCCATTGAACTGAAGGCTTCATATCCAGTTTCTCGATTTATCAGAGAAGAAAGCGTGATGGAATAGCAACTACTCGAAAATAGCCTCGATTCTCGCAGTTACAAGGTAGAAAACGTAGGTTCTAATTTCAATTGTTACATATGGTTTCTAGGGGTTTTAGTCGTCATATCTATGAGACACTATCCTTTTTTCCCGCTATGACTCTTTAGTCGATCATCGTCGATTCTTTAATCTAATTCTCACTTTTGGTAGTTTTGGACTGTCTTGGTTTCGGATTGGCCATATCTTTATTTTCCCTTAGCATGAGCGCACAACCATTCTTCTACTGGTTAGTCCCGTAACTATCTTTATCCTTTTTTGTTGTATGAATCTGTCCTGAACTTTGTTTCTACCTATTTGAAACTGAAGGTTGGACATTGGCGATGGAAAAGATGTGAATCTTGAACACCACCCAAGAAGTGTTCTGCAAAAACAATGCATTAAATATCTTGGACCAATAACTCTTTTTCCCAGGTTATATTTCAAGTAAAAAAAATAGATCTAATCTTAAAAATTGTAACTACATAAGATAAATTTAGTTTTATTAACTAAATAATAACAAATAAATAAATAAACATAAATTAGCAAGAACAATTAACATAAATTTTTTTAACAATTTTTAAAACAAACCCACGCGTAGCGTGGGTATTCATCTAGTGAATTATAAGAAGATTTTGTAATCATGGACAAATCTAGTTTTAGGCTTTGAATGATGAGATACGTGGCAATTGCATTTGATCTCTGGTTTATATGTAGCTAGCTGGTAAACACTGAAACACATATCTTCAAAAACCTATCTGTTATGCTTGTTTTGGCCGCGTTTAATTTGTTACTACTATTGAAAGTCTTAATCATTATAAAGATTGAACTAGTATTGATATTGCCAAGTTATCTAATATAAATCGACCATGATAGTTTTATTCAGAAAAATATGTTTTTGTGATTCAAAGTGATTAAAAATGAGTTAAAAGTCGATGTTACTGTTCCATTCGTTCTTAATTTGTTCTGATTGTTATGCACATTTTGCCATGTTAAGTACTACTAGATCATTGACCCGCACGTACGTGCGGGGTTTCATATTTTAAAAAATTTCTAACAAAATTTAATTCAATATAGATTATTTTATTGTTTTTATGATATATATTTTAGTTTATTAGATCTGGATCCACGTACGTGTAGAAATATTTTTAAAGAAATTGTTATATATAGATTTTAAAAATATAAAATATTTTGTTGTGTTAGTGAACTTCGTAATAGTATAAATATTATAAAGTTAGAGTAATGAACAAAATTCAATTGCGTTAATGCATAATTATATTTTAAGATCCGGACTAATTTAGTAACAAAAGTTTAATGGTGTTACATTTATTTTCTTAACTAATCAAAGCAATTCTAACAGTTTGATTACATATGTTAAATAGGATATGAATTCGGTTTTAGTTTGGGTTATTTCATGTATATTAGCTAGGCGTAACTATTTTGGAGCAGGAAACATATCCCGTACGGTATATATCATAAATTTTTTGTCCCATAATCTGTCACGTATACGTAAAATAAAAATATTACGGTCCCATATCTGTCATAAATAGAGTATGTGTAACTGAAAACGTATGTACAGGGTTATGTGTGTAAACAAATTTATTTTATATAGTGCTCATAACCCGAACTCATACCATTTGGGTATTTAGTTTGATTTTTAATATACAGTATGTTCCCCTCCCATCTCGTCTCGTAATTTCTATTTCTATTTTATTCCATTAAAATTATGTTCCAAATTCTTGTTTGCTTTCCTTTAAATACCATACAATATTACGATATATACTGTGAGTTTTGCAGATTAATATGTATGATGTTAAAGTTACAAATATATTTTAACAAATTTATTAATGTTTCTACCTAAATTTTGCACATTTTTCTTTTCATTGTTTAATCATAATTAATTCGATTTTTTGGACTAAAATTAAAATTTGAGATACATCTATAAAAGGGATATGTTATTGATGCATAATTAGTTTTTTTGTTTTTTTTTTTTTTTTTTTTTTTTTTTGCATAATTTGTTTTGAATGCAACATATATAATTAGTTGACATTATTTCGAAAACTGTGTGCAATATGTTATGGATTTGTTTAAGGAAGATCCGGTTGAGAAGAAAAAAAAAGAAAACACAAAATATTTCGAAATTAATATGTACAATCTATTATTTAGATATTTCCGAAACTTGCTCTAAACGAATGCCATAATGATAATTACTTTAAATTTATCATTATTTGAGTTTATTTCATAGTAAATATAAATATTTTTTTAATATCTAATATCGTTTTTTTAGAAATTGTGAAATAAAATTTTGTTTTATATTTCAAAATTTGTGAAAATATTATAACAACTGAGTCTTAAATATTTGTATTTAATTTTCTTACGAAATTTAAATTCAATCTTAAAATCTTCCATTGATAAATTTTTTTAAAAGATAGTGTTTTTAATTTTGAATAAAAATGGTATTTTTTTTTTTTTGATATAGAATAGTTTATTAAGATTGGTTAACAACTTTTTAGAAGAAAAAAATTAAATTTTCGTCCATAATTAATAAGAGAGAGAAAGTGAGTTTAATTTTTTGGAAACTAATAATTACTTTAAAGGATTTTGTTATTTTTTATTTAAATATATTATTTTGTGATTACTATTGTATCTTTAATGAATTTATTTAAAAATAAAAACTAATGGCATTTTTGTAATACTTTACAAAAATAAAAACTAATGGCATTTTAGTTATGTTTGAGTGCTTCCCAATTAATAGTATAGATATAAAACCTTAATAAATATTAGATTGAACTTGTATTAGTATTGTCAGATTATCTAATATATCATCAATCAAGTACCATATAATTTTATTGTTGAGGATATATTGCTAAAACATTTAATAAGGCCGTGTATATCTAAGACTCTAGTATTTTTAAATTTGGTACTAATTATATTATTTTATAATAATTAAAAAACTCAATTTATAATTATAGAAAATAATCTGTGATGCCACTTATGAATTATGATAAGAGAAAACTCAACAACACACTAAATTTTATTCATTAATAAGTAATTAAATTTTCAAATTCTACTGAGTAAATTAATGATTTTATATGAAAATAAATAATTTTATTTGAAATTGAAAAATACAGGATAATTTCTTTTAAATTGGAAAGTTTAAAAAAAGGAAGATGTAAGTCAACATATAATTTTACTAATTTAGATTTTCTGATTCTGAAACTTTAAAATTTGTTAAAAAATAATTATAAAGTATGCCAGGTTTTATATAATTTTTTTTTATTTGGAAATCAATTCTATTTTTCTTTTCTTTTCTTTTAACTCCATTTCTTTATAAATATTTTTTTCGTGCTGGATTTTGGGTATTTGCATTCTACATGTGATTTTCGAAACCGTCAAAGGTCGACCATTGGGGAGTAAATGGAGTTCAATCCAGAAAGAAACAATCTAAATGATAACAAGATCATTCAAAAGTATATAAGATTCCAAAAAAAGATAAAAAAAAAAAAAAAAGGATGAAGATTAACACAATGTTAGATTTAGCTACAAAATTATAAAAGTCAAAAATGTTGTTTATGTCGTACTAGGTTTAAGGTTGCGGAGGAAGTTCTTGAAATCATCCACCACATGTAATGAGACAGAGGGATGTAGATTTAGCCATAAAATTAGGCTTTAGCTTGGTTTGGAATAATAATTTTACTTTTACGACAGAAAACAAATTGACACGTAAAATTCTTTGGACATCCCTCAAAATCTAGGGATGCATAGTGATAACAATAATAATAAACCAAAAACCATAGTAAACCGGTCAAAAATTCAAATTTGGTTTGATTTTTGTGTTCAAACCAAAATCACTTGAACCAACCACAAAGTTGTGTCAATGTGTTCCTCCATATTTAGTCCTTTCAAGCTATAATAGTTTTTGGGTTCAATGGTAACATCTATTTTAACAGAGAAATAAAAATCAAAAGAATAACTTAACCGATCCTGAAGTTTCTATCTCTTATGACTAGAAAAGTACCAATCCTGGCTTTGTAAGCTCTATAGTTCTCACTAGTAAGAACCCTACATTTCTTCTCAATACGGAAATTCTAGGATCCAATAATTTCTATATATCCTTCAGGCACCAGAAATTGCAGTGTCTAAAGCAATTTTCACCAGCATTATTGTTAAGTTAGAAGCTCTCTTGTCGATTGTCAAGAGCCATGAAAAATGTTTTGTGATTCCACCACCATCCTTTTGGAATATCATTGAGCATCGATCATCTCGGTGTCTGAATGTTCTTTCTCCAGGGGTTTGGACTCGGTGTCTGAATGTTCGTTCTCCTGAGGTATGAACTCTGTAGCAGCAGATGGAGATGGAGTAGTAATGTCCGAACAAGAAGAATCAACAGCCAGATTTTCAGCCACTGGATCTTCTTTCCCATTTGCTGCTTCTTCTTGATGATCTGTTCCGGAATCATGTTCCATGTCAATAGAAGGGTTTGATTCAGAATCTACTGTATCAACCCTTGCGTCAACTTCCTTTCCTTCTTCAGAGACTGGTACGGATGCTGACAATGATGATTCTTTTCCGCATTCAGGGTCTTCTGAATGTGAGATGATGCCGTTACACAGAGAGGACACACTTGTGTCATACGCTCCCACCCCGGAACTCTCAACAGAGCCATCTTGGCTAGATTCTGTGTTCAATGTATCTGTTTTCTTCTCATCTTGACCTTCTTCGGATCTAAGATTTGATGGTCTGGGCTGAACCCTGCACCTATACCAGATATCGTAATCTGTTAAAGCTCTTTCGCTCAACAGTTCTAGTAAATTCACGAACTCCGCAAAAGGATATATATTCTTCTTGTCATGAAAAAGAAAGAAAGTGAAAGGCTCTACCTGCTGTAGAGGAGCATGTATGCTCGCTGAGAAAGGACATCTTCTAGTTCAACCTTTTCCACCTGCGAGTATTTTTAGACGGGATTAGAAGAAGATCTCTGAAAATTCTTGTTTTCTCGTAATCAAATCCTGGTCTATGTCAACATCCGTAATAGCCAACCAAAACAATGACAGAAGATGATTCTTACCTCAGAATCGTCTATTCTATACCAGTTTCCACGGAAGTCCTTGACATAGCATATGTAATGGCCGAAAAATGAGGCATTCAACATATCTAAATGGACAATCACAGCATAGAGTTTGTATACATCTGATCCTTCTACTCCACTGCTCATGTAAGGGCCTAGATCAAATGTCTCGGGAAAACTAATTCTTTTGTTCAGTTTACCAAATCTCCCACCCTGAACATAGTTTTAGATTTATTAGACCATCGATGTCAGAAGAATAAGAAAAAGAAATAAGACTAACTAAAAGCAAAAGCGAGAATAATGGAGCCCAAACCTGGAATCTTTTTAAGGCAATTGTAAGAATATTTGGAGCACAACGAATTGAAAGGCGCTTGCATGCCTTCACATAGTCATCACATCTGGAAAAGAAATACTAAAGTTTGAGAAAAACATTCCATTCTCAGGATGAACATATCAAGTTATCAACTATGTCTCTGTTTTAGGAAAAATTAAAGGCGTCAGGAGGAATACAATACCTATCACATTTGTATAAGTTATCCCCCTGAAGCCACTCTTTAGCTGTGAACTGATCGAGACATTCCTCCAATGATACCGCATCCCCGTGGATCTCAACAGTTAAATCCATCATATTTTCATATTGGTCAGAAACGTTACTGCAAGCGGTACACTGGACCTGCAAAATAAGAAAAATGCAGCAAATGAGGGAAAATGTTCCAAAAAGAGAGAGGACGATAATCTAAAGGAACTGAAGCAAGTTTCAAACATGAAACATAGATATGATATGTTGGATATATAAAGCAACTGAAGCAAGTTTCAACATCTTCAATAAAACCAATCATCGGGGACAAAAAGAGTGCAAGGGTGAGTGCAATCACACTTGACCGAAATTTTTTTGGAAAATGAGTTCATGACTACACGCAGACCTAGGATATGGAAATCAGTCAGTCTTCCACTCACTCACATTAAAAACCTCTTAAGAGTAGGTTGATAAGAAAGATCTACTTCAGTCCGTAGGTGGTTCTGTTTCGAACGAAACGAAGGATCCAATCTAGCCATTGGCTAACCTGTTACAAACTTATTACCTAGTGTCTAGTGACTCTACGATTCAAACCTAAAGCGAACATAAGTATGTCTTCTCGACACACCTTCCATTATTCTTGTACTAATTCTAATGAATGGTACATCACTGGATTATTAAAATTTGCACATACAGCACAAGACCTGCTACTGGGATAAGGAAACACACCTGTGACTGAAGGAGACCACCAAATATATATTGAATAAGTGTTGTCTCTTGGGCACGAGGAGGCACCACTTTTTCTCCACCAAATTCGTCGAGGCAAACAGATTGCATCATATCAATTGCAAACCTAAGTCACATGAGTTTTAAAAGCATTAGCTGACAGATTGACAGAAACTCCACCGCTGGATTACACCAACAAGAAACAATTCCTGACCTCATCAACTCATGAGCATCCTCCTGTCTCCCATACCCAAGGTTTCCACCAATATTAGGCAGCCGCGAAATAATGTTCATTGGTGAAAATGGAAACCGGCTTTGGTTTGCTCTATCAAGATGATTTTCAAATTCACAGAAGAAGCACCAATCATTTCGCCTACCTGTTAAACAAAACACAGAAATAAAATTGAAATGAATACAGAAAATCCAATTAGAAGAGTTGTGAAGCACAAAGATTTTCTCGAAAAAAATTACATTCTCTTTTGTGGCCTCTCTCCAGAAGGTATGCAACAAGAGGGCGTGTCCAGGAAAGGCATTGTAGAACAACATTAGCGAAACAACTGAAAAAAGGATTGAAATAAAAGAAAATCATTAAAAAGAATTCAACTCATTCGATTGGTGCGTTAAAGTTATACTAGAAACCAGATGAACAAAAACCTGTTTCCACAATTGGTGAGCCCACAAGGAGCCATTATTGGTCTGTCCCAGTTATAATATCTAACAAAACTTTCGTATGGGAAAAGAACCTGCAGAAGAATGCAAACAGAATCAGACTTGCTCGATGAAAACAATCAAGAGAGTGTCAAACATCAGATGAACAAAAGAAAACTATTACATCTGTTGGCTTGAGGGCCGCCTTGCTTTGGCTCAGTTGAGGAACCAATCCAATCTTACTCTTCTTAGAAGCAGAAGAAGACATATTCCCAAACAAAGAAGCTTTGTAATCGATATCATCTCTTCCCACCGGTGAAGAGTCAGTACTCCGAAACACCTTGCATTTTAGTTTATGTCCTGACTTCCAATCTGACGTTTGGCAATCCGCAGAGCTAGTTCCAAAGAACAGAGGCAAATAAAAGGAAACCAAATTCAAGAAACAGATCCTTTAAAAGCAAGATTGTTCTGTAAGAAACTGTAGCTGGTGAAATCCTAAAAATCGAAACTTTCAAAAGCAAAATTGTTCCTTTACTATATTTCCAGCTACGTCTAAATCAAATCTTAAAACCCTAATAAAGATCAATCTTGAATCTTTTCAACATACCAGTATCTCACAGATTTGCAACGAGAGCACTTCTTGGTAGAAACCTTCCCACAGACAGAACATTCAACCGTGTCGGGAACCATGAAATCTCGGCGATGGTCTCTATCGAAACCACCGGAGCCACCACCGACCTCGAAGTACTTGGCTGCCGTTCTTTTAACAAAGTAGAGGAGACCGATTGAGAGAAAGAATAACGTCAAGATAAGCTGCGTGAAGAAATTCAGATCCACAAATAATCCAACTTCATGCATCTAATTCCCTCTCGAACATCGATCTCCTTCTTCTTCTTCTTCTTCTCAGATTTGATTCGGAGATGCCAAAGAGAATCTCCTCTGTTTTTATTTTTTTCTCTCTGTGTTTTAGAGTTAAAGAATGAGAGAATGGGCCAATTAAAATCTTTGGACAATTATTTTCTTTTATTTTTATTTATCAGTTTCCATTTTTTTTTTTTGTCCTTACTTTTTTTTTTCTCTCACTGATTTAGTTAATTTAGAGTTATTACAGGCCAACTACTATTTCTCTGGATTTTTTCCCATTATGAAAAAGTTAATTTTAATGATTGTTAGATACCACATGTGTGATATATAGTTTAATAGATAATTGTTCTATCTAAAAAATTTAAGTTTTTTTTTGGCAATCATATGTGAAATAATACTATGTTGAATTATAATCAAATTAACTATGACTGTTTTTTTTTTTTTTTGTCAACAACTATAACTAAATCCATTTAAAAGAGTCATTCCTGAATAATGTTGTTTTACATAAATGATACATTGCGGTTAATTGTTCCTTGTATTGAGATATAAGTATTATTGTATAGAATTAAGTTTCCTTTTGCTTAATTCTACTTACTATATATATGAGTTGTAAGATTACATTTTGGTTTAATGAGAAATCTACTTTACAATAGTAAAGTGTTAATATGGTATCAGAGTCCAAGGTTGGCCCAACAAGCAAATTCCCACAAAAATGGTTTCCCACCTATGTGGCCCATATAAGTGGCATATCTTGTTGTATTTCCGAGATGTTGGGCTTGGGCAGTTTCCCGTTGGACCGTTTCCCGCCCAACATGTCGAGGAGACCTATTAGAATGTCCCACATTGCTTGGGATTAAGATCTTTGGGCAATATATATAGGATGTGGCAATCCTTAACTTAGGCCTGGGCATTCGGATTTCGGATCGGATTCGGTTCGGATTTATTCGGATTCGGATAATTCGGATAGGAGATTTTATTATCCGTTCGGATTTTATGACTATTCGGATCGGGTTCGGTTCGGATAGTGTCGGATTCGGATCGGTTTTGGATTGTTTTTCGAGAAAAAAGAAACTAAAAAAATGTTCAATTTAAATAAAAAATAGTTTAGTCTTACTAAAATTTGGCTAAGTTTTCCAAAAACATGTATAATTTTAACAAATATAACTAAAAACTTTCCTATATCTAGATTATTTAGGATATTTTTGTTATTTGTTATAAAATTATACCTAAATATAACTAATATTTTTGGATATATAATTTTATTTTCGGTTTTCGGATATCCATTCGGTTTTCGGTTCGGATCGGGTTCGGTTCGGATAATTCGGATAGGAGAATTCATTATCCATTCGGGTTTTGTGACTATTCGGTTCGGATTCGGAGCCGGATTTTTCGGATCGGTTTCGGATCGGTTTTCGGATTTCGGATTTTATGCCCAGGCCTACCTTAACTCTTGAGCTAGCTTTTGGGTTAAGTTAGACCACATTCCTAATATGGTATCAGAGCCCAAGGTTGGCCCAACAAGCAAATTCCCACAAAAATGGTTTCCCACCTATGTGGCCCATATAAGTGGCATGTCTTGTTGTATTTCCGAGATGTTGGGCTTGGGCTGTTTCCCGTTGGACCGTTTCCCACCCACATCTCGAGGAGACCTATTAGAATGTCCCACATTGCTTGGGATTAAGATCTTTGGGTAATATATATAGGAATGTGGCCTAACTTAACCCAAAAGCTAGCTCAAGAGTTAAGGATTGCCACATGGAACTAGGTGCTATGGAACTTAATAAGACATGGAGTGTAGTTTCTTTACCCCCAAATAAGAATGTAGTGGGATGCAAATGGGTATATACTATTAAGTATAATTCAGATGGATCTATAGAGCGTTATAAGGCAAGATTGGTTGCAAAAGGTTTTACACAACAAGAGGGAGTTGACTACTTTGATACATTTTCTCCTGTAGCCAAGTTGGCAAGTGTTAAACTGGTTCTTGGTCTTGCTGCTAAAAAGGGTTGGAGCATCACTCAAATGGATGTCACTAATGCTTTCTTGCATAGTGACTTGGAAGAAGAAATATATATGAGTTTACCTGAGGGTTACACACCTGCTTCAGGTTCATTGCCTCCAAATCCGGTTTGCAGACTACATAAATCCATCTATGGTTTGAAGCAAGCCTCAAGACAGTGGTACAAATGCCTTTCAAAGACTCTATTAGATGATGGCTTTCTTCAATCATATGTTGACAACACGCTCTTTGTGAAACTCACTGGTACGTCTTTCATAGCCTTATTGATCTATGTAGATGATATCTTGATAGTGAGTAATGATGAGAAAGCAGTAGCATCTGTGAAGTTGGTTCTTGCTTCTCGTTTTAAAATCAAAGATTTGGGTCCTGCAAAATTTTTTCTGGGCTTGGAGATTGCTCGGAATTCTGATGGAATATCAGTTTGCCAAAGGAAGTACTGCCTAGATTTGCTAGCCAACTCTGGTCTCTTAGGCTGCAAACCAAAGTCAGTACCAATGGATCCAAAGATTGTTTACACCAAGACAACAGGTACATTACTTACTGATGGAAGGCCATTCAGAGAATTGATTGGAAGACTGCTCTATTTGTGCATCACCAGACCAAACATTACCTTTGCTGTGCATTGTTTGAGTCAATTCTTGTCATGTCCTACGGATGCACATCTAAATGCAGCTCAACACATCTTGAAGTATCTTAAGAACAACCCGGGTCAAGGCTTATTCTTTTCTGCAAAAACAGAGTTATGTTTGAATGCTTTTGCGGATGCAGACTGGGGAACTTGCTTAGATACTCGAAGATCAGTAAGTGGAGTGTGTGTGTTTCTTGGTACATCACTCATTTCATGGAAGTCTAGAAAACAGGAAGTAGCAAGTGGAAGCAGTACAGAAGCAGAATACAGGAGTATGGCTCTAGCAACTAAAGAGCTGCTTTGGCTGAGTCAAATGCTAAAGGATATGCACATCAAGGTGGAGTTTCAGCATAAACTGTTCTGTGACAACAAGTCAGCAATGCATATTGCGAATAATCCTGTATTCCATGAAAGAACAAAACATGTGGAGATCGATTGCCATACTACTAGAGATCAGGTGAAGTTTGGCTTCTTAAAGGTTCTTCATGTGGAAACAGAAAATCAGTTGGCTGACATATTGACCAAGTCTCTGCATCCTGGTCCTTTTCACTCGATACTTAGGCGATTATCAGTGTCAAGCCTTTATCTTCCTCAACAAGATTCACAAGATTCGGCTTGAGGGGGGTATATTGAGATATAAGTATTATTGTATAGAATTAAGTTTCCTTTTGCTTAATTCTACTTACTATATATATGAGTTGTAAGATTACATTTTGGTTTAATGAGAAATCTACTTTACAATAGTAAAGTGTTAATACCTTGTTTCTCTGAATATCTTCCAAATACACCGAAAAAGATGGCCACTCGGTTGGGGAAGACACCATCTTCAGCAGATCTGAATAGTCTGTTAAAAAAACTACGTGTTGATTGTCGCACCAATCATACACTTCATTGTCCAGTCAAGAGCTTCTACTTCTGAATGTAGAGGATAAAGACTTCTACGAACGTCAGTAGCTCCCATAGTTGGCGACACCTCGTTTGATGACGTACAAAACCACCTTAAACCTAAGAACTTATCACTACATTTCCATGAACCATCCACAAAACATCGATGTCCGGAGTACATTGATTCATGTGAAAAATCTCTCACGCAATTGCTTGTTTATGAATCCAAAGATCCAGGATTTTCAGTATGGAACTCGACTTGAGCTAACTGCCAAGCTTGTGCCTCATTTTTCGCTAAGCACAATATCTCTAGTGGATCTTTATCCACATTTTCGTATAACTTATCATTCCTTACTTTCCAAATATACCAAATTATCCATGGATACAAGATATATCTATCTTTGGAGGAGTTCTCCAGAATAAATAATCCATGGCTCTTAATGGTAACTGTGTACCGCTAAAATACAGTGTATACAACTTTAAGAGTTATCAATCACAAAAGCTTTATCAAAAGCGTTACTCAAAGATTTACTCTCAGCTTTTTTGTACAACTTTCTCGTACAGCTCTTTCTTACCGTTTTACACTATTCCGAAAAATCTTACAGCTCCAGTTAATGGCTAAAAAATTTATACAGTTTTTGGTTACCAATCAGACCCCATATATGTGTAAAAAGAAGCGGAGAAAACAAATCTCTGTAGCCGTAGGAATCTGCGAGAGAGCCCAAGTCTAACGTGCTGGATGGCATTCAAAAAATATTATTAATTGTTTTCTCTGATGCCCCACATCTACTGCATTTTGTATCACAGTTTATACTCCTTTTTCGTAGATTTGTCGTGACCTACACGCAGCCGGATAATATTTGCCACAAAGAATGTCGTAACTTAGGTGGACATTGTACTTTCCAAGAATCTGCTTTCAACGGTTTAATATCTGGGCCAGAAAAATGTGAATTGGGTTTGAAACCTCAACATATATATATATATATATATATATATATATATATATATATATATATATATATATATATATATAACCATTAATAATAATATTGTTTTAGTCTAATAGTTAAAATTGTATGAGTATTATAAAGCTTTCAAGGCGGATTGGTAACGACTGCTACTTTTGGTTGCAAAGAATTTGGTTGTTAAAACTTTGGCTGTAGAAACTTTGTTTCTATAATAGAGATGAATTTTCTCTATTTTTACTCCAATGTATAACAAAATTTACTCTATTTATAGAGAAAAAAATAGAGATCCTCTATATATATAACAAAATATAAAGATCTCTATTTTAGAGGTGAAAATAGAGGTGAGTTAGAGTAGATTTACCTGTAAAATAGAGTTTATAGGCAAATATAGAGGTGGGTT